AAATCACTTGTAACCTATCTGATCGAAAAATAAATGCAGACTTTCACTCTGCCTGTGTCAGTTTGAGTCTTGTTAAAGATTTAAATCCTTGCCGCCAAGATGCTCCTCTGTCAGTCACGGATTATGGAAAGCGAAACTTAAATCTGTCACAGGGTGGTTGGATATATTCATGCACGTAAAATAAAATTATTAAAAGCTTCTTTCTTTTTAGATTCTTATTTACAGCATTTTCATAATAGGCTGTATATTAACTTATTGGCAGAAAACCAGTAGTTCTGTGTGAAATCAGATATTGAGCAACCCCATACAGCCAAAATGGCATGATCATAACACCTCTGCGAATATTCGACTGTGAGATTGAGTGTCGAATCAGGCTCCTCCAATCGAAGCATCGAATCTTTGACTATTCGGGGTCACCCCTAAATATTTCACAACATTGCTGTTTTACTGTATTTTTGATAAAATAAATGAGCATAAAAGACCTTCCGACCCCAAACTTTTGAATGGTAGTGTATATAAATGTACAGCTGTTTCTGCTATAATGGTTTTTTCTTGTTCTCCCTTCTTGTAATTTACAGGAAGATAAAAAAAATGTGTTAAACTGATCATTAAAGCCAGTCCCTGAGACAAAGAAAAATGTACAGTACAGGAACAGGATAAAGGTCTCATGCTCACAATAAGATCACAAGAGCTGAGAACAGTAAAACTCAACCAATATAATGGATGAGGTGCGCGATCAGGCACCAACGGCCCTCTGAACTCCCGTGAGATCACACTGACCTGTGAAGTGTGCCCTTACAAGTGAGCTCTAACATAAAGCAGGTAACAAAACAGGACGTCAAAGGTGGAGGTGTGCTCTTTAAAGTGACCACCTTCCTGAATTCACACCTATGGTACATGCCTCCAGACTAGGTGTGTTTGGCATCTACTTGTGAAGTGTGCCTCTTTAAAGGTGGGTGGCTTCCAGAAAGATTACAAGACCTTGCTAATTTGATCTTTTATAAGACAAACAAGCTTAAATGCTCATTTACGCCTTTAACACCTTAAACAGATACAAGTTTGGAATAGAAAGTCAGTAAATAATGACAGAATGTTCAATTTTGGATGAAGTTGTTGCGATAAATCACAATATACAATAATAATTCACTATAACATTGAGAATTTGAAATGAAAAAAAAATAAAAAATCGGTTCTTGTCACAACATCATGGTCAAGCTACACTTATAGTAGTACAGGTCTCTCGCATAGGCAAGAGAGGTATAAAATGCAACAACAATCAAAGCACATTTCACTCCGGTCTCCTGTGAGACTGCCTTTGTAAAGCGAGTCGTTTGAAGTGGGCCACCTCGAGAGGTGCTAGAAGTCTGCTCTCTGAAGAAAGGAAATTCACAGCACTTTGAGAAGTGTGCCATACAGAGTGAAAATCTTCACACCGATACCTGATTGAACTGTCTGCCAGGCAAAAGCAATTGTAGTATCAATAGAAAGAGACTGGTGGGGGAGTGCAGGTGAGAAAGTGTGCCATGGGAAATAGTGTGGCTTAGAGCTTGTTAAAATTACCATATAAGAAAAAATGGAGGGAAAAGATGGACAGCTGGTAAGTGTTTTAACATTAACTATCACCATTAAGATACTTTTAAACTGCTAAGTAAATCTATTCAGCTAATGTTGTATTAACTTTTTTTCTCTTCCTTGAGAAGGTGGTGAAATTCTTAGCTCATTAGAATATGTATAAAAGATGTATGGGTGATTTCAAAACATACGGTGAACTACTGCTTAACGATTCCTTGGCAAAAATAACTATTAAGTCTTAAAACCTGACTTTGTGAAAGTTCATGCTTACCTTATTTCCTTGTTCATCCACAGAATTGCTACCTACAGACCAGAAACATTAATAATTTGAGTCATGATTTTAAACGGAGTTTAAGCAAAAAAAAAAAAAAAATATATATATATATATATGTAATGATATAAAATAATAATTTGAACTTGCATGCAAAAACATGTTAAATGATTAGTAAGCAGTAAAAACACAAATAAAATAAATGATAGTAAATATGCAGGTTAAATAAATATTTACCTTTAACACAACTTAATCCTCCAATACAAAAATAAAATATTTAATAAAATAAAATATTTTTAAAATAAAATAAATCACCAGAGTAGCACATATATGATGTTTTTTTTTACACAAAATACAGTAACCAGTGACATCCAAAAATTCTCATGATAATTCAGAACAATCCAAAGAATAATCCAACAATGCCAGTTAAAAATGTTATAAATGTTATGAGAAATGTTATGAACATGCCAGTCAAAAAAGTTTAAAATAATCCGATTTTAAACGGAGTTTAAAAAAAAAAAAAAAAAAAATATATATATATATATATGTAATGATATAAAATAATAATTTGAACTTGCATGCAAAAACATGTTAAATGATTAGTAAGCAGTAAAAACACAAATAAAATAAATGATAGTAAATATGCAGGTTAAATAAATATTTACCTTTAACACAACTTAATCCTCCAATACAAAAATAAAATATTTAATAAAATAAAATATTTTTAAAATAAAATAAATCACCAGAGTAGCACATATATGATGTTTTTTTTTACACAAAATACAGTAACCAGTGACATCCAAAAATTCTCATGATAATTCAGAACAATCCAAAGAATAATCCAACAATGCCAGTTAAAAATGTTATAAATGTTATGAGAAATGTTATGAACATGCCAGTCAAAAAAGTTTAAAATAATCCAACAATGTTCGAAGAATATCTTCAAACGTATAATTTTCCAATCCATTGGTGCCCACCCTTAGCGTAAGAAAGCAACAGGCAAACTCACCGAATATGTACACGATGCCGACTGTGCTTCCAAGTCCCATAATTCCTGCTAACCGAAGGACCACCTTCTTAGCATATGCGGTGTTCTCTTTTTGTTTCTTGTCCTCACCCTGTTCATTTTTCTTGTCATCCGAGTCATCACCCTCTGGAGGAAGCTGGCCCTGTGAACGATGTGTTAAAAGCATCCTGCTTTACATTTGCCTGTTATCCTCCTGAACATTAACTGACAAAACTTTAAGCCAATTTTTCAACAAGAATCCCAAATCTTACGTTACACAGCAGCCAGTTTGAATACTAATTTCTGTGACTAATTTCTATTCTAATATGCACCAATTCCATTATTTTGAATGTTCTGAGGAGCTGTCACTCAGTGAGACCCATTGTCCTTTGACAGACATTCAGCCTTCAGCCCTTATCTGCATTCAACAGTCAAAAGAGGGCTCCAGACCTTGCATGATACAGCTCCAATGTGAAAGTCATAAAAAATAAATGTAAACAACACTCAATTGTAATGTTACATTTTTTGCATTATTAACAAACTTTTTAACCCTATAAAGCAGGCATCATATTTGAAACATGAATTTCGAAGGCTTCTAAATTATCATCATGGCAACCATAAAAGCCTGATGTGATGTATCAAATATGATGCAAAACATAAAACACATATACTTCTTAGATTTTTTTTTTTTTTTTAATATTTCGTATAAAGAGTAAATAAACTGTCCCATTTAAAAGTAATAGATTTTTCTGACTATTATTTCATATGGCAGGTTTACAGAAACTCATATGACTAGAATTTGTAATCCAGCTCTGTCCTTTGCAATCATTTATGCTACATATTTAAGAATAAATGTTATAACATGCACTGATTTCTACTGATTATGTGAAAATGTAATCAATGTTACTGCTCTGTCATACAGAACTCAGACTGCATGTCTGACTTCATTCAAACCACCACCTGTCAACCTTTACTAACCAGACCTAACCATTTGACAAGTTGGGGTCATTTATTCATCAATACACTCAACGCCTAAGTACTAACATGTAAGAATGTACATATTTTTTTCCATAACGCAATAACTGGCTGTCTAATACCCTGTCATGCAGGAATGTCAGGCGGTCATAGCGCTCACCTGGCTTTTCTGCTGCTGCTGAAGCCTCTCCTGCAGTATTGCCTGGGCCAGTCCTCCTGTGGCACTGCTACTAGATGTGTCAGAGGAGAGAGTCCTGACAACATCCAGCACCGCGGGGGCTGTGGAGCCTCTGGCCCCCTGCCTCAGTCTGAGGAGGCCCCGGCTCGCCCGGACACACATGGGATACACAGACAGCGCCGACATCTTGAATATGATGCAGCTAGTGCACTGAGCGCGAGTGGAAAGGACAAACGAGTTTGATTGGTTGCGTCTGTTGTGATTGGCAGGCAGAGAGAGCCAATCGGACCCAGGATCTGCAACGCGAAGGCTGGTCTTGGAATATCGTCACGTCCACCGTCAAAAGCTGTTAAAAGTTCCCAATATTTTTTACTACAAATATCTGAATTAAATGCAATGCTTGTCTAATAATAATAGCAGATACTGTATAATGGCTAACAGATATAATAATGATACAAAGATGGCATCCTATGGAGATATACATAATATATATCGACAAATCTAGAACATTCACTGTGATATGGGTATACATTTCAAAATAAAAGTACTTCATACTTGTGAAATTTAATTACTATTTTGAAATGCCAAGCCTGTGTTGTAGGAATACATGAATGAAAAAAAAAACATTATTGAATATTTATTATATATATTGAATAAAATATAATATTGAACAAAACATGAAGAAGGTATGTACAACATTTTAAACAAACAAACAAATAAAAATAAGCAAAAATAGAAAGTACAAATATCAAGTAACAATGTTGGATAATGTTTTTAGTTAAAGTTATTACATGTGAAAAAGCCTGTTATAGATCCTTAATAAACATGATTTCAGGACATGGAATGGATAAAAAGGTAAGCTAGTTAACTGAAGCTCGGTTTAACGTCGTATTGTTTGTTAATGTTATTTATTAAAGATATTTTACAAAGTAAAGCATTTTAAAAGGGTTTGCTAGGTTGACGATCCCTGCACTAGCCAATGGGTGGCAGTAGATCCTTATCACGATTTAACCTGTTGCTGTTCTTTCAAAGAAGAAGAACAATCAACACCGTTCTGTTATCAGTGAAGGTAGAAGTTAAAAGTAGTTTTTACTTTTGTATATCTTCAAATAGAGCTATTTGTTTTCTTCTTATCAAATATGGTTGAAATAAAACTGTCGAACTGATCAAGTCTTCGTGTTCAGTTAAACGCCCACGAGTTACTGAAGAACAGTGGGTGAGTTTTCTAGCTTGGGAAAGTTTCTTCATGGCGACAAACTTACCTTAACTTATAACTATTTTGAAATAAACTAGTTATAGCTTAGCATTAAACTTAACCACAGTCCAGAAATGTTTTGTCATTGGGCTTTTTGCGTCCTAACCAGACACGTTTGCGTTGCCTGTTTGTAAACACAAGTACAGACGTTTCTAGTTTAGTAGCAATGCAACAACAGAAAAAGTTAATGTATTAATAGTCAAGATATACACAATATAAATTCAATATTTGTCACTTTAGATTGACTGACACTTTCAGTCTTTATAGTACAAGGTCATATCTGCTGTTATCATTGGTAGTCATTGCATGGTTTTACCATATTGGAAAGCTTTCACACTTAATGTAAATGTGTTTGTTAATTGTCCACACACACACACACACACACACACACACACACACGATTTAACCTGTTGCTGTTCTTTCAAAGAAGAAGAACAATCAACACCGTTCTGTTATCAGTGAAGGTAGAAGTTAAAAGTAGTTTTTACTTTTGTATATCTTCAAATAGAGCTATTTGTTTTCTTCTTATCAAATATGGTTGAAATAAAACTGTCGAACTGATCAAGTCTTCGTGTTCAGTTAAACGCCCACGAGTTACTGAAGAACAGTGGGTGAGTTTTCTAGCTTGGGAAAGTTTCTTCATGGCGACAAACTTACCTTAACTTATAACTATTTTGAAATAAACTAGTTATAGCTTAGCATTAAACTTAACCACAGTCCAGAAATGTTTTGTCATTGGGCTTTTTGCGTCCTAACCAGACACGTTTGCGTTGCCTGTTTGTAAACACAAGTACAGACGTTTCTAGTTTAGTAGCAATGCAACAACAGAAAAAGTTAATGTATTAATAGTCAAGATATACACAATATAAATTCAATATTTGTCACTTTAGATTGACTGACACTTTCAGTCTTTATAGTACAAGGTCATATCTGCTGTTATCATTGGTAGTCATTGCATGGTTTTACCATATTGGAAAGCTTTCACACTTAATGTAAATGTGTTTGTTAATTGTCCACACACACACACACACACACACACACACATATATATATATATATATATATATATATATAAATATAAGATCTATAAATGATTTCAATAAATGCTGTATGCATGTTGTTTTATGTGATGTGTAGCATGTAGGTTTTGCATCACTAGCAGCCTGCCCAGCAGCATTCACCACGGCGGGGGAAATCAGACCTATCGTGTGCAGGGTGGTTATCTACCTACAGCGGGACATGTCAGGAGAGAGCTGCCTGCACCAGCTTCAACCGCAAACCGGGCCCATTGTGTCAGTCTCTTCAGTGGCCTGCCCCAAGACTAACACCTGCACTTACCGCGGTGTCACTGGCAACAAGTACGTGCAGCTCAATGTTGGCGGAAATCTTTACTATTCCACACTGAAAGTGCTCACCCGACAGGACACACTCCTGAGATCCATGTTCAGCGGCAAGATGGAGGTGCTCACTGATAAGGAAGGTGAGTTATTTAGACAGTGCCGAGATATGATGTAACCACTTTAGCCTTGGTTTGCAGTGCTGATGTTGTTATGTGAATTCTGCTTTTTTTTAAAGGTTGGATTCTAATAGATCGCTGTGGGAAACGCTTTGGTTCGATTCTCAGCTATCTCCGTGATGGATTTGTGACCTTGCCCAAGAGCAGACAGGGTATCATGGAGCTCCTAGCAGAAGCCAAGTATTATCAGATCCAGGGATTGATAGACTTGTGCCAGAGAACCCTGCAGGTTGGTGGAGACTTTCCTGATTATTCTTGTTTTTGTGTGATTTTCATGAAAATATTCAGGTTATATTTCATTCCAAAATTAAAAGAATTAAATTAGATATTTAAAATTGTGCCATTTTAAAGCAAGCATGTATCTCCTACACATTTTATTGTTGTAATGCAAATAAGATTCTATCATTCTTGTTACTGTAATGTGGAAAAAAAAAAAATATTATTTACATTTTTAAATACTTTACATCTGGGTAGAATTTGTTTTACTGCTTCTAATATATGATCATTTTAATTAAGACTAATCATTGTGTACTGTATAGCAGTAAAATAATACGTGTAGGCCTATTGTAGTAATGATAATCCTGTTTGAAAATAATGGGAATATTAAAGGTTAGGGTGCATTATGGTAATGGCAACTGGGGCAAAGTCTTGTAATATCATATAATAATATACAATTTTGGGTATGTCAAAAGTTTTTTATGTATTTGTCTCTTACTCTCAGAAAGGCTGAATTAATTTGAGCAAAAAAAAATTTTTTTGTGGAAATTGTAAGGCGTTTATTTTTTTGATTTTTTTGACAAATCGAAAGCTTAAAAACTGCATTGATTTGAAATAGAAATCTTTTGTAACATTATTAAAGTTTTTACTGTCACTTTTGAAAAAATTAATAAACATGACGCACAAGTTTGCTTAATAAATGTATTAACTTCTTTGAGAAAACATCTTACTGACTGCAGCCTTTGAAATTTAGTGTATGTAAAAGAATAATGCAAACTTTTTAAATGGTCCTGAATGCAAACTTCATTTTTTTATGTCTAAACAACGGCTCTGTGTAGTTAATGCTGCTCAATGTGAAAGCACGCACGTGATGGAGATTTACCCCTGATTACAGAACCGGCTTTCTGACAAGATGCGCGTTAAATATCGCATGCGATTTATCGTGCAGCCCTAATAATAATAATAATAATAATAATAATAATAATTTTGGGGTGAAATATGACCCAGATATTTCTTGTCAGGATTGTGAGATCGGTCCACTTATTTATTTATTTGTTTGTTTGTTGGTAGGATAATGAAGAAAAGGCTTTGTGTGTTATCCCAGTCATAACATCTCCTAAAGAGGAAGAGAGGCTGATACAAGGCTGCGTAAGGGTGAGACTTTCATGGAGTGCTGTTTGTGTCCCTGTTTTTTGGGGTTTGTTTTATGTTCACATATAAAGCAAGATAATCTGCAACTCTGAATGTCTTTTGCCATTATTATTGTTCCACTTATAGCCTGTTGTAAAACTGCTTTACAACCGAGGTAACAACAAATATTCCTATACCAGGTAATTACCAGTGCTTTAACATTCAACATGATTTTCCTTTTTGAGAAATTCAGTTGGCTTCTAGTGTTCTTATTGTCTTTTTGTTTGGTGTTTATCTTCCTCAAAAGCAACTCGGATGACAACCTACTCAAGAACATCGAGTTGTTTGAGAAGCTGTCTCTGAGTTACAGCAGTCGTGTGCTCTTCATTAAAGATGTCATCGGAGACGAGATCTGCTGCTGGTCCTTTTACGGACAGAGCCGTAAGCTAGCAGAAGTCTGCTGCACATCCATCGTTTATGCTACTGAGAAGAAGCAGACAAAGGTAAGTCTCGTTTGAAAAGGTATTTCTATAGACACTGTTTGAACGTGTCAAAGAAGAACTCTGGTAATGCGCTCAGGTTGAGTTTCCAGAAGCACGGATCTACGAGGAGACGCTAAATGCCCTGCTTTATGAGACTCTCCCAGTCCCAGATAACTCCCTGTTGGAGGCCACTCGCAGACGGAACAATTGTTGCTCACACAGTGAAGAGGAGGAAGCCGTGGAGCTGAGGGAGCGTGTGCGGCGCATCCACATTAAAAGATACAGCACTTATGATGACAGACCACTTGGACATTAGCCTAACTGTGAATTGAGGCTTCCAAGACATTTTATATATATATCCTTCCAACTAGTGCCTCTGTTTTCACATTGTCTGTGGAGAACACTAAACTACCAGCGCCGTTTAACCACTTTGTAGTTCGCTGTCTGAACAGATTGCTGCTTTGTCTTTTTTTTTAGGTGGCTTGACAATCAAAGTTTTGGATGAAATGAGGCTTGAACATTAATGTGAACATAACACAAAAAGTTGATCATGAATTAGCATCAGTTCCTATATTTTAATTTATTTACCTCATTATTTTGTTGTTTTTAGGAAAACACTATGTTTTTAAACAGTAGTTTCTAGCCTAATCATATAATGTTTCGATAACATCTTGCCAAGATGAATTTGCCAAGTACGTCACTCTGTTTCTGCTAACCGTACAGGATCATATACTCCGTTACAATCCTGCCTTTTGCCTACATTAATCATCAAGTACTGTGATTTGATGAAAAAATAAATCATGTATATGGGCTTGGGGTGTTGCATTTAGAAAAATCAGGTTGTGGTGTTTGATTTTTGTCTAGTAAGATGAAAAGAAATGTGTTTTTAATACTTAATGAATGAATGACTGTGACCTAAAAGTTTCCTGCTCTAGTTATTTAACACTCACAATATTTTCTTAAACTTAAAGGGTAGTTCACCCAAAAATGAAAAATCTTTTAAACAATAATTCAGGTTTATTTGCCCATACATTTAAAGTTGGTATGGTCCAAAACAACATTGGACCCCTTTGACTGTCAATGTATGAACAAAACAAAAAAAAGAAGACATTTTAAAAATTTTCATCTTTTGTGTGTTTTTTATTTGAATTAAATGTATTTTATTTGTATCTAGTAACTTTAACAGTAGATATTATAAGAATAGTTCATCCAAAAATGAAAACATTTATCGCCTTCAGGCCATTCAAGATGTAGATGAGTTTGTTTCTTCATGGGAACTGATTTGGAGAAATTTATATCACTTGCTTACCAATGGATCCTCTGTAGTGAATGGGTGCCGTCAGAATGAGAGTCCAAACAGCTGCTAAAAACATTACAATAATTCACAAGTAATCCACACCACTCCAGTCCATCAATTAATGTTTTGTGAAGTGAAAAGATGCTTGTTTAAATATTCCATTTATTTCTATTTTAAGTTTGTAAATCCATCAAGACATTTTTACCTAAAATATGAGTGTTTTATCATAATATTGCTTCCTCCAGTGAAAAAGTCGTCTCAGCTGAATCGGGGGAAATTTGTGCAGATCAAAAACAGTTCTAAACAAAGATGTCAGTGGATTTCTGATGTAAGAAGCGTTGTTATGCATTATTGATGCGGTTAAAATGCATTAATGATGGAATTGTTTCTTACAAACGAACAGCTTTTTATTTCACAAGACGTTACTTGATGCACAGGAGTCCTATGGAATACTTGTGGATTATTGTGATGTTTTTAGCAGCTGTTTGGACTCTCATTCTGACGGCACCCATTCACTGCAGAGGATCCGTTGGTGAGCAAGTGATGTAATGCTAAATTTCTCTGAATCTCTGAATAAAGAAACAAACTAATCTATATCTACATAAATATTAGGCAAATTTTCATTTTGGGGTTGAATCATTTATAAATAAATTGTACCACAAACCCCTTAAACAGCTTTGAAATGTTTAATATCAACTCAGTAGTTTAAATTTGTGCTAGTTATTTGGATTATGGATGTGAGACTATAACCATCACGCATCACGTATCTTTTCATCCAGTAGTTCATATGAACATCATGTCTTGTTGAACGCCTAATGACAATGCCTGATTAGTTGAACCACCACAGGCGCCTCCATCTGAGCTGTCAAATGTGGAGGGGAGCTAAAAATAAATCGGCGCGTGAAGAGATTTATCCCATTGATCAACAGTGGCAAGGGGGCGGGGTCAGCGGTGATTGCGTCATAAAGGAACCGAAGATGGCTTCACGATGCGCTACGGCAGTGCTTAGATGCGACAAGGCTCAGCTGTCGGTACACACTTTTATATGAAAAGGAAGGAAGGGTAAAGCAAATTAGAAATACTGGGACTAAAGGCAGGCGAGCCGTTCAGATTTATGTCTCCAGCCAGTTTATGCTGCACTTGGGTTGTTTAACAGTCAGGGACAATGGGTTCGACTACAGATGAAGAATTTAAAGAGAAATTACTATGGAACGTCAAAAGAGAAGTGAGTGCAATTAATTTATTTCTTGTCTTAGTTTTGATTCAATGCTAAAACATGCGTGCACGATCAGCTCGCATGCATGCTTTGCATCTTGATTTAGTGCATGCATATAAGTTTCGGATGCGCTGATGCTTAACGTACAGACAATGATGAATTAATGTATAACGAGTTGCATTTACGAGTGCTCAGGTAGGCTATTATATTTCTTAGAGGTTTACATTCAAACACTTTCACCTGTAGCGCTGGAGAGGTCGGCTATTTCCTTCTTCATCCGCCTGTAACTTAATGTAGCTATGGGAGACGATTTAATCAATGGTTTCTGCGGTGATCAATAGATTCTGCCTTCTGCAAATGGCTAAATACAGTCTAAAAGCGAGTACGTTTTTAGTGTCGAATATGCTCCTAGCCTGTTGCAATGTAAACAAAAACGAGTTGACATCGAATTTCCATTGACAGACACTTGAGGGGCTGAGCGCTCAGAGCACGCTAGGTTTATTTATAACACGACTGTAAGAGAAAGCGCGCTACTTTATTATTTGACTAGATTAGAAGAGATCGTTGCATTGATTGCTCTGCATGTTACCTGTTTTGATCTGGGCTTATTTTCTTTTTATCACACGCAGAGAAACTTTCTCATGTGGAAATGGAATGCCACACTAACCTATTTTTGAGCGGTTACACGTTAATTTCAATGATCAAATAAGTTTAATGTGAGGGGGTTATCATACAGTCAAAATCATATCTGCATTATATAAGACCAGTATGGCCATTGTTGGTTCACACACTATAGGTTGAACTGGCTTCAAACTCATTAATAAAAACAGTTTAATATGACTAAGTTAAGTCAAGTGTACATGAAGTGTAATGAAATATTTTTGCTGTTGCACTTACTACATTGTTGCTTAAAAAATAAATAAAAACATGACATTAATTTAAAATTATTAATTTACTTCTAAATGTGCGTATAAAGCTTCCTCTAAGAATAATAGTCCAATAAAGTGTAGAAAACAATTCAAAAACATGTTAACTTCTGGACAGCGCAGCAGAAATATCTAGTTTAGTTAATATACAAATATATTAGCCCACTCAGTGTTGTGATCGACCAATCAGATTCAAGTATTCAAGATAGGCTTGTAATGGAAAACAGATTCACCCAAGGTATTATTTTAATCTAAAAAGGAGTAAAACCATACATTAAAAATTCCGTACTAACCATTTTATGCCAAATCAAAATAAGTAGTCAGAGATAAATATGAATGAGCTGTTCTTGAGCGTATTTTGTAATAATTATTTGATAAGACGTCACATTCACAGAGTTTCAAATGTATTCACTCCAGGAACTGTACAGTGGGAGAAGCTGTTACATTCTTTTATATCAGTGTAATTAATTCTTATCTTTTCCCCCACAGTGCAGGGAACGCTAGTTTTAAATCCGGCCCTCATGAATAATAGAAATCTTGAATGAATTGCTGCAAAGAATAGATGTCCTAAATTGGTACCAGCATGTCTCATGTGTCAGAACAGACTGTGTCCACATAGCTGATTCAGCCTCTTGAACTTAATGCACAGTCCTGGCAGACATCATGTCTCATGATAGTTAAGGGCATGTTTAATATCATGGATGTGATAATTAAATTCTTAAGGTATCTGGCCTCAGGTGGCTCAGTGGCCTGGGTTAATAAAGAAATCAATTTTTAACATCATCTCATTCATCAAGTTTTAAAGAACTTTTGTGCGTCATATTCATTCAAATAACCTATTTTTACCTCTAAAATGAGTCACTTCCTCCACAGAGATGTCCTGGACTCTTTAGTTAACGTAGAGTCACATTGATTTCCATTGATTAATAGTGCTTCTCCTGCAGGTCATTCCACATTTATTTGTCTATGGGAACCAGAAGTACATGTTTATGACATTATGATATTATAAAATGAAATACATATCTCTATATATTCATATCTCTACAAAAGACCTCACTTTTTTGGTTTTCAGCTATTTTAAGCATCATATGTATAGTGAGGAAATACAGTATCTGAATGAATATTTACAATGCATACAGGTTATAACAGTCCTGCAATACACACAGGATTAGATTTTTATTCCTCCATTGACTTTCTTTTGTAACATCCCAGGTCTCTGTCACTTTAAGCTGCAGTCAGCCGCCTTCTGGTTGCCTAGGAACTGAAAGCATCAGCAGCTACCTAAGAAGTTAAATTGCATCAGTGGACGATTAATACAGCTGCATGAAGCAGGGATCGTCACAAATGGCTCCCACAAGAGCGAAACAACTTAGTTTCATTTTCCTGTTCTCTGTTTTTTCCCCATCAATATTTATTGGCTGCATTGAGCAACATTACACCATTTTGCAATGATCTATTTAATATTTATGAAATATTTTTGTGTCTGCAGAACTGCATACCCCATTTTTTTTGGTCAGATTTTCTGTCAAGAGCTTAGATTTTGAACTGCATTCTTCTTCATAGGCTTTTTTTTTTATGGCTGTGCATGTGATTGAGTCTGTCTTTGTAGGTGTTCACTATATCCTTTTAAATTGGGCATAGGATGCCAGAGCTCTTTGTATTTTCAGACGTTAGATGGTGTATTAACTGAGCATATTGTGAAGATATCTCTCCACATGTTGTGCCCCTTTTTTCAGCTGTAAAAAACCTTGAGTGATGACTTCATTAATGCCATTGTTACCGCTGTCAGCTATGTCTCTATGTGAAGCATTTGCACTATTCGAAGCATCCAACCATTCTCGTGTCTTTCGAGACATGTTATGTAATGCAACAGGCTGCTGTAGTGAACAGGTTTTAAAACTATTTTAACTACTACTATTTTTCATTTCATCCCAAGGACAACAGCAAATATTTAATATCAGCCTTTAAAAAAATAGCTTGCCCAAAATGACAATTTACTCACCTTCACCTTCCAAGATGTAGATACGTTTGTTTCTTCATAAGAGCAGATTTGGAGAAATTTAGCATTACATTACTTGCTCACCAATGGATCATCTGCAGTGAATGGGTGCCGTCAGAATGAGAGCCCAAACAGCTGATTAAAACATCACAGTAATCCACACCACTCCAGTCCAGTCCATCAATTAATGTTTTGTGAAAATCTGCATGTTTGTAAGAAACAAATAGATCATTAGACATTTTAACTTTAAACTTTAAAACTTCTGGCCAAAATATGAATCCATAATAATGCTTCCTCCAGTGAAAAAGTCTGTCCTCTCATATCAAAATTCACTGACATATTCGTTTAGAACTGTTTTGGACTGTTTTCCCTTTCCACAAACAGTGCTTGATCAGTGCATATTTCTCTCCTGATTCAGACAAGATTATTTCTTTATTTTTATTGGAGAAAACAATATTAGATAGATTACTCTTATTTTAGCAAGAAGCAGTGGTTTGAAGTTAAAAACATCTTGATGGATTTGCTCATTACAAGCACAGTTTTTCACTTCGCAAGACATTAATTGATGAACTGGAGTCGTGTGGATTATTGTGATGTTTTTATAAGATGTTTGGGCTCTCATTTTGACGGCACCCATT